CCCCACACTCACCAGGCACCCCACACTCACCAGGCACCCCACACTCACCAGGCACCCCACACTCACCAGGCACCCCACACTCACCAGGCACCCCACACTCACCAGGCACCCCACACTCACCAGGCACCCCACACTCACCAGGCACCCCACTCACCAGACACCCCACACTCACCAGGCACCCCACACTCACCAGGCACCCCACACTCACCAGGCACCCCACACTCACCAGGCACCCCACACTCACCAGGCACCCCACACTCACCAGGCACCCCACACTCACCAGGCACCCCACACTCACCAGCACCCCACACTCACCAGGCTCCCCACACTCACCAGGCACCCCACACTCACCAGGCACCCCACACTCACCAGGCACCCCACACTCACCAGGCACCCACACTCACCAGCACCCCACACTCACCAGGCACCCCCCCCACACTCACCAGGCACCCCACACTCACCAGGCACCCCACACTCACCAGGCACCCCACACTCACCAGGCACCCCACACTCACCAGGCACCCCACACTCACCAGGCACCCCACACTCACCAGGCACCCCACACTCACCAGACACCCCACACTCACCAGGCACCCCACACTCACCAGGCACCCCACACTCACCAGGCACCCCACACTCACCAGGCACCCCACACTCACCAGGCACACCCCACACTCACCAGGCACCCTACACTCACCAGGCACCCCACACTCACCAGGCACCCCACACTCACCAGGCACCCCACACTCACCAGGCACCCCACACTCACCAGGCACCCCACACTCACCAGGCACCCCACACTCACCAGGCACCCCACACTCACCAGGCACCCCACACTCACCAGGCACCCCACACTCACCAGGCACCCCACACTCACCAGGCACCCCACACTCACCAGGCACCCCACCAGGCACCCCACACTCACCAGGCACCCCACACTCACCAGGCACCCACACTCACCAGCACCCCACACTCACCAGGCACCCCACACTCACCAGGCACCCCACACTCACCAGGCACCCCACACTCACCAGGCACCCCACACTCACCAGGCACCCCACACTCACCAGGCACCCACCACTCACCAGGCACCCCACACTCACCAGGCACCCCACACTCACCAGGCACCCCACACTCACCAGGCACCCCACACTCACCAGGCACCCCACACTCACCAGGCACCCCACACTCACCACACCCCACACTCACCAGGCACCCCACACTCACCAGGCACCCCACACTCACCAGGCACCCCACACTCACCAGGCACCCCACACTCACCAGGCACCCCACACTCACACACCCCACACTCACCAGCACCCCACACTCACCAGGCACCCCACACTCACCAGGCACCCCACACTCACCAGGGCACCCCACACTCACCAGGCACCCCACACTCACCAGGCACCCCACACTCACCAGGCACCCCACACTCACCAGGCACCCCACACTCACCAGGCACCCCACACTCACCAGGCACCCCACACTCACCAGGCACCCCACACTCACCAGGCACCCCACACTCACCAGGCACCCCACACTCACCAGGCACCCCCCCACACTCACCAGGCACCCCACACTCACCAGGCACCCCACACTCACCAGGCACCCCACACTCACCAGGCACCCCACACTCACCAGGCACCCCACACTCACCAGGCACCCCACACTCACCAGGCACCCCACACTCACCAGGCACCCCACACTCACCAGGCACCCCACACTCACCAGGCACCCCACACTCACCAGGCACCCCACACTCACCAGGCACCCCACACTCACCAGGCACCCCACACTCACCAGGCACCCCACACTCACCAGGCACCCCACACTCACCAGGCACCCCACACTCACCAGGCACCCCACACTCACCAGGCACCCCACACTCACCAGGCACCCCACACTCACCAGGCACCCCACACTCACCAGGCACCCCACACTCACCAGGCACCCCACACTCACCAGGCACCCCACACTCACCAGGCACCCCACACTCACCAGGCACCCCACACTCACCAGGCACCCCACACTCACCAGGCACCCCACACTCACCAGGCACCCCACACTCACCAGGCACCCCACACTCACCAGGCACCCCACACTCACCAGGCACCCCACACTCACCAGGCACCCCACACTCACCAGGCACCCCACACTCACCAGGCACCCCACACTCACCAGGCACCCCACACTCACCAGGCACCCCACACTCACCAGGCACCCCACACTCACCAGGCCCCACCCCCACACTCACCAGGCACCCCACACTCACCAGGCACCCCACACTCACCAGGCACCCCACACTCACCAGGCACCCCACACTCACCAGGCACCCCACACTCACCAGGCACCCCACACTCACCAGGCACCAGGCACCCCACACTCACCAGGCACCCCACACTCACCAGGCACCCCACACTCACCAGGCACCCCACACCACCAGACACCCCACACTCACCAGGCACCCCACACTCACCAGGCACCCCACACTCACCAGGCACCCCACACTCACCAGGCACCCCACACTCACCAGGCACCCCACACTCACCAGGCACCCCACACTCACCAGGCACCCCACACTCACCAGGCACCCCACACTCACCAGGCACCCCACACTCACCAGGCACCCCACACTCACCAGGCACCCCACACTCACCAGGCACCCCACACTCACCAGGCACCCCACACTCACCAGACACCCCACACTCACCAGGCACCCCACACACTCACCAGGCACCCCACACTCACCAGGCACCCCACACTCACCAGGCACCCCACACTCACCAGGCACCCCACACTCACCAGGCACCCCACACTCACCAGGCACCCCACACTCACCAGGCACCCCACACTCACCAGGCACCCCACACTCACCAGGCACCCCACACTCACCAGGCACCCCACACTCACCAGGCACCCCACACTCACCAGGCACCCCCACACTCACCAGGCACCCCACACTCACCAGGCACCCACCAGGCACACTCACCAGGCACCCCACACTCACCAGGCACCCCACACTCACTCACCCCACACACCCCCCACACTCACCAGGCACCCCACACTCACCAGGCACCCCACACTCACCAGGCACCCCACACTCACCAGGCACCCCACACTCACCAGGCACCCCACACTCACCAGGCACCCCACACTCACCAGGCACCCCCACACTCACCAGGCACCCCACCTCACCAGGCTCACCAGGCACCCCACACTCACCAGGCACCCCACACTCACCAGGCACCCCACCCCCACACTCACCAGGCACCCCACTCACTCACCAGGCACCCCACACTCACCAGGCACCCCACACTCACCAGGCACCCCACACTCACTCACCAGGCACCCCACACTCACCAGGCACCCCACACACCACCCCACCACACCCCACACTCACCAGGCACCCCACACTCACCAGGCACCCCACACTCACCAGGCACCCCACACTCACCAGGCACCCCACACTCACCAGGCACCCCACACTCACCAGGCACCCCACACTCACCAGGCACCCCACACTCACCAGGCACCCCACACTCACCAGGCACCCCACACTCACCAGGCACCCCACACTCACCAGGCACCCCACACTCACCAGGCACCCCACACTCACCAGGCACCCCACACTCACCAGGCACCCTCACCACACCCCACACTCACCAGGCACCCCACACTCACCAGGCACCCCACACTCACCAGGCACCCCACACTCACCAGGCACCCCACACTCACCAGGCACCCCACACTCACCAGGCACCCCACCCCCACACTCACCAGGCACCCCACACTCACCAGGCACCCCACACTCACCAGGCACCCCCACACTCACCAGGCACCCCACACTCACCAGGACACCCCACACTCACCAGGCACCCCACACTCACCAGGCACCCCACACTCACCAGGCACCCCACACTCACCAGGCACCCCACACCCCACACTCACCAGGCACCCCACCCCCACACTCACCAGGCACCCCACACTCACCAGGCACCCCACACTCACCACACTCACCAGGCACCCCACACTCACCAGGCACCCCACACTCACCAGGACACCCCACACTCACCAGGCACCCCACACTCACCAGGCACCCCACACTCACCAGGCACCCCACACTCACCAGGCACCCCACACTCACCAGGCACCCCACACTCACCAGGCACCCCACACACTCACCAGGCACCCCACACTCACCAGGCACCCCACTCACCAGGCACCCCACACTCACCAGGCAGCCCACACTCACCAGACACCCCACACTCACCAGGCACCCAACACTCACCAGGCACCCCCACACTCACCAGGCACCCCACACTCACCAGGCACCCCACACTCACCAGGCACCCCCACTCACACTCACCAGGCACCCCCACACTCACCAGGCACCCCACACTCACCAGGCACCCCACACTCACCAGGCACCCCACACTCACCAGGACACCCCACACTCACCAGGCACCCCACACTCACCAGGCACCCCCACACTCACCAGGACACTCACCAGGCACCCCACACTCACCAGGCACCCCACACTCACCAGGCACCCCACACTCACCAGGCACCCCACACTCACCAGGCACCCCACACTCACCAGGACCCCCCCACACTCACCAGGCACCCCACACTCACCAGGCACCCCACACTCACCAGGCACCCCACACTCACCAGGCACCCCACACTCACCAGGACCCCACACTCACCAGGCACCCCACACTCACCAGGCACCCCACACTCACCAGGCACCCCACCACACTCACCAGGCACCCCACACTCACCAGGACCCCCACACTCACCAGGACCCCCACACTCACCAGACACCCCACACTCACCAGGACACCCCACACTCACCAGGACCCCCCACACTCACCAGGACACCCCACACTCACCAGGCACCCCACACTCACCAGGACACCCCACACTCACCAGGACCCCCACACTCACCAGGACCCCCACACTCACCAGGCACCCCCACACTCACCAGGACACCCCACACTCACCAGGCACCCCACACTCACCAGGACACCCCACACTCACCAGGCACCCCACACTCACCAGGACACCCCACACTCACCAGGCACCCCCACACTCACCAGGACCCCCACACTCACCAGGCACCCCACACTCACCAGGCACCCCACACTCACCAGGCACCCCACACTCACCAGGCACCCCACACTCACCAGGCACCCCACACTCACCAGGCACCCCACACTCACCAGGCACCCCACACTCACCAGGCACCCCACACTCACCAGGCACCCCACACTCACCAGGCACCCCACACTCACCAGGCACCCCACACTCACCAGGCACCCCACACTCACCAGGCACCCCACACTCACCACACTCACCAGGCACCCCCACACTCACCAGGCACCCCACACTCACCAGGCACCCCACACTCACCAGGCACCCCACACTCACCAGGCCCCACCCCCACACTCACCAGGCACCCCACACTCACCAGGCACCCCACACTCACCAGGCACCCCACACTCACCAGGCACCCCACACTCACCAGGCACCCCCACACTCACCAGGCACCCCACACTCACCAGGCACCCCACACTCACCAGGCACCCCACACTCACCAGGCACCCCACACTCACCAGGCACCCCCACACTCACCAGGCACCCCACACTCACCAGGACACCCCACACTCACCAGGCACCCCACACTCACCAGGCACCCCACACTCACCAGGCACCCCACACTCACCAGGCACCCCCCCACACTCACCAGGCACCCCACACTCACCAGGACACCCCACACTCACCAGGCGCCCCACACTCACCAGGCACCCCACACTCACCAGGCACCCCACACTCACCAGGACCCCCACACTCACCAGGCACCCCACACTCACCAGGCACCCCACACTCACCAGGCACCCCACACTCACCAGGCACCCCACACTCACCAGGCACCCCACACTCACCAGGCACCCCACACTCACCAGGCACCCCACACTCACCAGGACCCCCACACTCACCAGGCACCCCACACTCACCAGGACCCCACACTCACCAGGCACCCCACACTCACCAGGACCCCCACACTCACCAGGCCCCCACACTCACCAGGCACCCCACACTCACCAGGCACCCCACACTCACCAGGCACCCCACACTCACCAGGCACCCCACACTCACCAGGCACCCCACACTCACCAGGACCCCCACACTCACCAGGCACCCCACACTCACCAGGCACCCCACACTCACCAGGCACCCCACACTCACCAGGCACCCCACACTCACCAGGCACCCCACACTCACCAGGCACCCCACACTCACCAGGCACCCCACACTCACCAGGCACCCCACACTCACCAGGCACCCCACACTCACCAGGCACCCCACACTCACCAGGCACCCCACACTCACCAGGCACCCCACACTCACCAGGCACCCCACACTCACCAGGCACCCCACACTCACCAGACACCCCACACTCACCAGGCACCCCCACACTCACCAGGCACCCCACACTCACCAGGCACCCCCACACTCACCAGGACACCCCACACTCACCAGGCACCCCACACTCACCAGGCCACACTCACCAGGCACCCCACACACTCACCAGGCACCCCACACTCACCAGGCACCCCACACCAGGCACCAGGACCAGGCACCCCCACACTCACCAGGCACCCCACACTCACCAGGCACCCCACACTCACCAGGCACCCCACACTCACCAGGCACCCCACACTCACCAGGCACCCCACACTCACCAGGCACCCCACACTCACCAGGCACCCCACACTCACCAGGCACCCCACACTCACCAGGCACCCCACTCACCAGGCACACCAGGAGGCACCCCACACTCACCAGGCACCCCACACTCACCAGGCACCCCACACTCACCAGGCACCCCACACTCACCAGGCACCCCACACTCACCAGGCACCCCACACTCACCAGGCACCCCACACTCACCAGGCACCCCACACTCACCAGGCACCCCCACACTCACCAGGCACCCCACACTCACCAGGCCCCCACACTCACCAGGCACCCCACACTCACCAGGCACCCCTCACCAGGCACTCACCAGGCACCCCACACTCACCAGGCACCCCACACTCACCAGGCACCCCACACTCACCAGGCACCCCACACTCACCAGGACCCCACACACCAGGCACCCCACACTCACCAGGCACCCCACACTCACCAGGCACCCCACACTCACCAGGCACCCCACACTCACCAGGCACCCCACACTCACCAGGCACCCCACACTCACCAGGCACCCCACACTCACCAGGCACCCCACACTCACCAGGCACCCCACACTCACCAGGCACCCCACACTCACCACACCCCACACTCACCAGGCACCCCACACTCACCAGGCACCCCACACTCACCAGGCACCCCACACTCACCAGGCACCCCACACTCACCAGGCACCCCACACTCACCAGGCACCCCACACTCACCAGGCACCCCACACTCACCAGGCACCCCACACTCACCAGGCACCCCCACACTCACCAGGCACCCCACACCAGGCACCCCACACTCACCAGGCACCCCACACTCACCAGGCACCCCACACTCACCAGGCACCCCACACTCACCAGGCACCCCACACTCACCAGGCACCCCTCACACTCACCAGGCACCCCACACTCACCAGGCACCCCACACTCACCAGGCACCCCACACTCACCAGGCACCCCACCTCACCACTCACCAGGCACCCCACACTCACCAGGCACCCCACACTCACCAGGCACCCCACACTCACCAGGCACCCCACACTCACCAGGCCCCCCACACTCACCAGGCACCCCACACTCACCAGGCACCCCACACACACAAGGCACCCCACACACACCAGGCACCCCACACACACCAGGCGCCCCACACTCACCAGGCACCCCACACTCACCAGGCACCCCACACTCACCAGGCACCCCACACTCACCAGGCACCCCACACTCACCACCAGGCACCCCACACTCACCAGGCACCCCACACTCACCAGGCACCCCACACTCACCAGGCACCCCACACTCACCAGGCACCCCACACTCACCAGGCACCCCACACTCACCAGGCACCCCACACTCACCAGGCACCCCACACTCACCAGGCACCCCACACTCACCAGGCGCCCCACACTCACCAGGCGCCCCACACTCACCAGGCACCCCACACTCACCAGGCGCCCCACACTCACCAGGCACCCCACACTCACCAGGCGCCCCACACTCACCAGGCGCCCCACACTCACCAGGCACCCCACACTCACCAGGCGCCCCACACTCACCGCACCGTTCCTAATCTGCTTGCCAGCAAACCATCGCAGCATCTCCAGTACAGCTGAGAACACTCGCGTCTTGTGTTCTGCCCCAAGACAGAACATTATCAAGAGAAACAAGAGAACATTAACAAGCTTGACAAGAACAATTTAGCAAGATACATAAATGAAAAAAAAAATATTAAGTTACAATAAAACATAAACAAATGTTTGGGAATTTGACTTTGTAAACACTACAAAATAGAGAAGTGAGGTGGTCCTGCAAGACAAGATATAACTCTCAAGATCTTAAGAACTCTCAATGTGTCGAGTTCCTGTCAGACACAGTTCACTCAAGAAGACATCAGTGTATAAATGGATCTTATTGCGATCATTTATCTCCATTAATTGCGCTTGATGACTTGACATAGTCAAGAATGAGGCCTCAGGTTTGGGCTGGGCTTAAGCCTACTAGCCTTTGAGAGGTTATTAAAACAACAAAATTACATATTAACTAGTATGTATAGTTAGGTACTCAGCATAGTCCCGAACTAAATAACAATAGTTGATATAACAGTCGGTTTATAATGATCCTTTCAAGCATCTTGCATATGCATCTTATCTTGAGATGATTTCAGGGCTTAGCGTCCCCGCGGCCCGGTCCTCGACCAGGCCTCCTTTTGGTTACACATCCCCAGGAAGCAGCTCGTAGCAGCTGTCTAACTCCCAGGTACTTATTTACTACTAAGTGAACAGATGCATCAGGGTGAAAGAAACTCAACCTATTTGTTTCCGCCTCCACCCGGGATCGAACCCAGTACCTTAAGACTCAGAATCCCTAGTGCTGTCCACTAAGCTAGCATGAAACGAGACTGATAGGTCTGTAATTGACAGGATCATTGGGCTTCAGTAATGGGCATAATTATTGCGTGTTTCCATTGTGTGGGCAGCACTCCACTTAGGAATGATTTGTTAAACAGGTGGAGTAGTGGATTCCCAGACACCCCACACAGTGCACTGAGTATGTCGTACGTGACCCCATCTTCACCGGGTGCTGTACTTCTACCGTACATTTTTTATATATGTATTTACATTTGTGGAGCCAGTAATCATTGTAATTACATATACTTTAAATATAGTGCACTTTCCTCGTGCTTCCTGTTTGTTTACACCAGACTTACAAGCCACGTGGCTCTGCTTACATGATGTATGAGCTGACAACTACACACACTGACCTAAGAGCACCATTTGTGGTGACTCTGACCTACTGACCTGGAAGGACGTTGACTTGGGTGCGGAGTGTGTCCTCCAAGGTGGTCAGGGTGATCGAGGCGCCGAAGACGACGCCAGTCTCCGTGACCGTAACTGAGGTGAGCTCCTCCACACACGTGGGATTGATGATCACCGGGTACTCCTGGTTCTTGAACTTCACTTCCACACCTGGTGTAGGTACAAGGTTATGTCAGATACTATTTAATATTTTATTTTTATTTTTATTTTATTTTATATATACAAGAAGGTACATTGGGATTGTGAGGATCCATAGGATAGTAATTACAATCTTGTAAAGCCACTAGTACGCGCAGCGTTTCGGGCAGAAGGAACGAATATTCTAATATCACTCTATAGCAGAGACAAATGTCACTACTCTTAGGCCAAGCTTAATGTTTGAGTTAGTACTGTGTGACCCTTCTTCTAATTACATTTTTAACACCATCTGCATTTGTGAAGCTGCCCTTGACTATATGAAGAGTCTGTGTGTGTCAAGAGATGCTGTTAATCTCAGTCTGACTGCATGGTTAGTCATTACCCTGAGTAGCCCTCAGTATAGTGACCATTGTGTGCTTTGAGGATATCCTCCAGAACATGAGAGTGATTAAAGCAACTGCAAAGCACCAGGTACCTCATTCCCAGCAGGTGTGTGTGTGTGCATGAATGAATGCTGCTTGTGTCTGATCAAATGAATTACTATTATACCAGAGCCTTCACTTGCCAGCTTCGGTATTGCCCACGATAATCTTGGCGTTGGGGTGCAGCGTCTTGAGCCGGAGGAGTTGAGCGAAGGAGTCTGGTCGATAGAAGACGACCCGTTTTCCTCGTATCTCCAAGTATTGCTTGTCAAGATCACTTCGCACCTGTTGCACCGAAGGAAAATTTATTCCTGAGAATTTGTTATGACGACTTCGATGTCCGTACAGATGGTCGGCAGACTATTCCACACTCTGGGCAGTGACTGGTAGACTATACAACACCCAGAGCTGTGACTGGTAGACTATTCCACACTCTGGGCAGTGACTGGCAGACTATACAACACCCAGAGCAGTGACTGGTAGACTATTCCACACACACATGACACAGTTTATCAGTTTATTCTACATAAACTTTAAATTAAATTGTTTCATGCTTTAAGAAAAGGTAATCTAGATCATCACCACCCATTACCTCCTTTTCCTCTTATATTACATCAGCTCCTTTACCAGTTATCGTTTCACTTACAACAGAGTTATTAGGCAGATATATTACGTGAGTGATACATATGTATCTCGTTAAGTGACGAGACACACGAGCTGATCACCTTTAGCTCCGGGGGGAAAATAATGTCCTGGCTAGGGTCGAGGGGCCGGAACTGTCTGGTGTCGTAGAGCAAGGCAGGTGCTTCCGTTTCTCCGTTTTCTGTTGCAGCTTCAAAAACAAAACAATTTTTTTTTTTACCAAAAATAATTGCGAGCTATATTACTAATAAATAAATATCGAAACCAAACATGTATTTTAATTAATATTGTCTATTAAAACAGGATTTTGTTTTTAAGATTAAAATCACATTGCCATTCACCAGTAGAGGTATGAGCACCCACCTTGACTGCTACAATCTGTACTTCGAAGCTTGCAACAGCCGGCTGTGCCACAGCCAGCAACATCAGAGGTCAGGTCACGGAAGCCCTCGAGGATGGGACGGTAGCCTGTACACCGACACAGGTTCCCTGGTGGTGAACATCTGGGTTAATGCACACCTGTCTTACTTACACACCAAGATTCGTTGGTGTGTTCCTTCTGAAGCTACTTCATGAATGACAGGATGAACTTAAAAAGTCCACTCTCAAGCTAGTTAAGGAATTTAAGAGGAATTATGATGCCAAGCTTCTATATGTGTCATTTGGCTAACTAACTCTTTGCTTAAAAGTATTTTGTGTTCTTAGTTTGGTTTAGAACAGGCTTGAATGTGGCCGGATGTGTTGCGGCAATAGGTGAACTGCACAAACATTTAACACACGCAGTTGGTACACAGTTAGGAACATGAATGAACAAGGTACGTGAGAAAACACTGAAGCCGTTCAATGGAATTGAACCCTCGTCTTTGAACTGGTCAGAGTGCTGATGGTGAGGGTCAACTCACCTGTGAAGTACTCGTTGAGATCGGCCATTGAGGGTGTAGGAGTGTTTCTGAGGAGTGTGTACATGGACATGACAATGCCAGGCGTGCAGAAGCCACACTGGGAGCCGTGCGCACGTGCTATGCGCTCCTGCACGGCGTGGAGGCCTGTGGTGGTGGATCCGATGCCCTCCACGGTGGTGACGGCCAGGCCATGCGTTGACACCACGGGAGTAAGGCAGGCGTTGACAGAGTAGTGGCTGCATGGGTAGGAGACACCTAGCTTAGTCACCTCACACATACACACACACACAGCCTCTAGGAGCTCGGGCGGGGACGTCAACAATTAAGGCGGATATCGCTTCATAAATCACCTAATTGTGCTGTGGGATGCTTACTTGGAGGTGAGTGCCTCTCAAAGTCAGTCATACAAGGTGTACAGTGTTTTTGATATATAAATTAGCTTTGGACGTAAGTTAAAATACGAAAAAGTAGCTTGAGAGTCTCAGCTTGGTATTAGTTTTTCACACCTGTGTGTTACATTACATCGCCACCAACTAGCCCCACCCCCCCTCCTCACCATAACACACCAGTGTAAACACACACACACACACACACACACGCACAAATCAGCCTACCGCCAACCTAACCCCTCACCCCCGGGACTGACCTTCCATCACTTACCCACCTGATGGCCCTCCTTCCTCTCTCCCTCTCGACCTCGCTATAACTCTCTCCCTCTCGACCTCGCTCTAACTCTCTCCCTCACTCTCCCTTTCACACCCTCACTCTCCCTTTCACTCCCTCACACTCCCTTCCACACCCTCACACTCCCTTCCACACCCTCACACTCCCTTCCACACCCTCACACTCCCTTCCACACCCTCACACTCCCTTCCACACCCTCACACTCCCTTCCACACCCTCACACTCCCTTCCACACCCCTCACACTCCCTTCCACACCCCTCACACTCCCTTCCACACCCCTCACACTCCCTTCCACACCCCTCACACTCCCACACCCCTCACACTCCCTTCCACACCCTCACACTCCCTTCCACACCCTCACACTCCCTTCAACATCCTCACACTCCCTTTCACCCCCTCTCTCCCTTTCACTTTCTCTTTCCCTTTCACTCCCTCTCCCTCCATCCCCCCACCAGTTAACCGGACAATAAAAACACACACACATCACACACAAACACAGCTGTGTGTGTGTGTATGTATGTGTGTGTGTGTGTGTGTGTGTGTGTGTGTGTGTGTACTCACCTAGTTGTACTCACCTAGTTGTGTCTGCAGGATCGAGCATTGACTCTTGGATCCCGCCTTTCGAGCATCGGTTGTTTACAGCAATGACTCCTGTCCCATTTCCCTATCATACCTGGTTTTAAAATTATGAATAGTATTTGCTTCCATAACCTGTTCCTGAAGTGCATTCCATTTTCCCACTACTCTCACGCTAAAAGAAAACTTCCTAACATCTCTGTGACTCATCTGAGTTTCAAGCTTCCATCCATGTCCCCTCGTTCTGCTACTATTCTGTGTGAACATTTCGTCTATGTCCACTCTGTCAATCCCTCTGAGTATCTTATACGTTCCTGTCATGTCCCCCCTCTCCCTTCTTCTTTCTAGTGTCGTAAGGCACAGTTCCCTCAGGCACTCCTCATACCCCATCCCTCGTACCTCTGGGACGAGTTTCGTTGCAAACCTCTGAACCTTTTCCAGTTTCATTATATGCTTCTTCAGATGGGGACTCCACGATGAGGCTGCATACTCTAAGACTGGCCTCACGTAGGCAGTGTAAAGCGCCCTAAATGCCTCCTTACTTAGGTTTCTGAATGATGTTCTAACTTTTGCCAGTGTAGAGTACGCTGCTGTCGTTATCCTATTTATATGTGCCTCAGGAGATAGATTAGGTGTTATGTCCACCCCCAGGTCTCTTTCACGCGTCGTCACAGGTAGGCTGTTCCCCTTCATTGTGTACTGTCCCTTTGGTCTCCTATCTCCTAGTCCCATTTCCATAACTTTACATTTGCTCGTGTTGAATTCTAGTAGCCATTTCTCTGACCATCTCTGCAACCTGTTCAGGTCCTCTTGGAGGATCCTGCAATCCTCATCTGTCACAACTCTTCTCATCAACTTTGCGTCATCCGCAAACATCGACATGTAGGACTCTACGCCTGTAAACATGTCGTTAACATATACAAGAAATAGAATTGGTCCCAGCACCGATCCTTGTGGTACTCCACTTGTTACTGTTCGCCAGTCCGACTTTTCGCCCCTTACCGTAACTCTTTGGCTCCTTCCTGTTAGGTAGTTCCTTATCCATGCTAGGACCTTTCCCCCCACCCCCGCCTGCCTCTCGAGCTTGAACAGCAGTCTCATGTGCGGTACTGTATCAAAGGCTTTTTGGCAGTCCAGAAATATGCAGTCTGCCCAACCATCTCTGTCTTGTCTTATCCTCGTTATTTTATCATAGAATTCCAGAAGGTTTGTTAGGCATGATTTCCCTGTCCAGAACCCATGTTGATGTTTGTTCACAAACCTAATATTCTCCAGGTGTGCAACCAGTCGTAGCCTAATTATTCTTTCCAGTATTTTACAGGGGATGCTTGTCAGTAGTTAAGTGCCTCCTCCCTATCACCTTTCTTGAAGATCAGCACGACATTTGCCTTCTTCCAGCAACTGGGCAGTTCTCCCGACATAAGTGACTCATTAAAGATCATTGCCAGAGGCACGCTGAGGGTCTGTGCTGCTTCTTTTAGTATCCACGGTGATACTTTGTCTGATCCAACTGCTTTCGTTGCATCTAGAGTTGTCAACTGTTTCATTACCTCCTTTGCTGTCACGTCTATATCTGATAATCTTTCATCAAGGGTAACCCCTTCCAACAATGGGAGCTGCTCAGGCTCGGTAGTGAACACTCCGTGGAAACTGGCATTCAGTGCCTCACAGATTTCCTTGTCACTTTTAGTATATGCCCCCTCTGTCTTCCTTAGTCTTGTCACTTGGTCGTTCCCCGACATTTTTCTTCTTATATGACTGTGTAGTAACTTAGGTTGTTTTTTCGCTTTGATTGCAATATCGTTCCCATAGTCCCTTTCCGATGTTCGTCTTATGTTAATGTAATCGTTCCTAGCTCTGTTGTATCTGATCCTGTTGTCCTCTGTCCTTTGTCTTCTGTACTTCCTCCACTCCCGCATGCTGGCCATTTTTGCTTCCTGACACTGTCTATTAAACCATGGGTTATTATATTCCTTCTTATTTTTTCCCTTTACTGTTGGTATAAATCTCTCTTCGGCCTCCTGGCATTTCTGTATGGCTAGGTCCATCATATCTTGGACTGTTTTTCCTCTAATTTCTTCCTCCCACTGCACTTCACCCAGATAGTCCCTTATCCTCTTATAGTCCCCTTTCCTGTAGTCAACTATTCTTTCCCAGATCTCTTGTCCCATGGTCATAAGTTTGAATTCCATCATGTAGTGTGTGTGTGTGTGTGTGTGTGTGTGTGTGTGTGTGTGTGTGTGTGTACTCACCTAGTTGTACTCACCTAGTTGTGTTTGCGGGGGTTGAGCTCTGGCTCTTTGGTCCCGCCTCTCAACCGTCAATCAACAGGTGTACAGATTCCTGAGCCTATCGGGCTCTGTCATATCTACACTTGAAACTGTGTATGGAGTCAGCCTCCACCACATCACCCCGTAATGCATTCCATTTGTCAACCACTCTGACACTAAAAAAGTTCTTTCTAATATCTCTGTGGCTCATTTGGGCACTCAGTTTCCACCTGTGTCCCCTTGTGCGTGTTCCCCTGGTGTTAAATAGACTGTCTTTATCTACCCTATCAATCCCCTTCAGAATCTTGAATGTGGTGATCATGTCCCCCCTAACTCTTCTGTCTTCCAGCGAAGTGAGGTTTAATTCCCGTAGTCTCTCCTCGTAGCTCATACCTCTCAGCTCGGGTACTAGTCTGGTGGCAAACCTTTGAACCTTTTCCAGTTTAGTCTTATCCTTGACTAGATATGGACTCCTTGCTGGGGCTGCATACTCCAGGATTGGCCTGACATATGTGGTATACAAAGTTCTGAATGATTCTTTACACAAGTTTCTGAATGCCGTTCGTATGTTGGCAAGCCTGGCATATGCCGCTGATGTTATCCGCTTGATATGTGCTGCAGGAGACAGGTCTGGCGTGATATCAACCCCCAAGTCTTTTTCCTTCTCTGACTCCTCAAGAATTTCCTCTCCCAGATGATACCTTGTATCTGGCCTCCTGCTCCCTACACCTTTCTTCATTACATTACATTTGGTTGGGTTAAACTCTAACAACCATTTGTTCGACCATTCCTTCAGCTTGTCTAGGTCTTCTTGAAGCCTCAAACAGTCCTCTTCTGTTTTAATCCTTCTCATAATTTTAGCATCGTCCGCAAACATTGAGAGAAATGAATCGATACCCTCCGGGAGATCATTTACATATATCAGAAACAAGATAGGACCGAGTACAGAGCCCTGTGGGACTCCACTGGTGACTTCACGCCAATCGGAGGTCTCACCCCTCACCGTAACTCTCTGCTTCCTATTGCTTGTGTGTGTGTGTGTGTGTGTGTGTGTGTGTGTGCTCTCTCTCTTTCCTCTCTCTCTCAACTCTCAATGTTTGCGGACGATGCCAAAATTATGAGAAGGATTAAGACAGAAGAGGACTGTTTGAGGCTTCAAGAAGACCTAGACAAGCTGTAGGAATGGTCGAGCAAATGGTTGTTAGTGTATAACCCAACCAAATGTAATGTAATGAAGATAGGTGTAGGAAGCAGGAGGCCAGATACAAGGTATCATCTGGGAGAGGAAATTCTTCAGGAGTAAGAGAAAGAAAAAGACTTGGGGTTGATATCACGCCAGACCTGTCTCCTGCAGCATATATCAAGAGGATAACATCAGTGGCATATGCCAGGCTGGCCAACATACGAACGGCATTCAGAAACTTGTGTAAGAAATCATTCAGAACTTTGTATACCACAAATGTCAGGCCAATCCTGGAGTATGCAGCCCCAGCATGGAGTCTATATCTAGTCAAGGATAATACTAAACTGGAAAAGGTTCAAAGGTTTGCCACCAGACTAGTACCCGAGCTGAGAGGTATGAGCTACGAGGAGAGACTACGGGAATTAAACCTCACTTCGCTGGAAGACAGAAGAGTTTTTTTTTTTTTTTTTTTTTTTTTTTTTTTTTTTTTTTATGAGATATATACAAGAGTTGTTACATTCT